GTCTCATTCCTCGTTGTCCCATCTCTCGTGCTCTTTCTCTCGCTCTTCTTCTCACTCCCTCTTTCTTCTTCTTCCTCGTTTTCCTCTCTCCTCGAGGGCTTCTTCATGGAGCAGGCGCATCCGACGTTTGACAGAACAAAAGACATCTACCGGACTCGCTGTCTCGGAACATTCCTTTTCCCTCAAAAATAGACTCCCCTAAGCCTCCCCTTTGTCCACCCTTCTTCGATTCTTCTTTCTCTTTACGCTTCCTCCAAGTTGCCATACGTACTCGCTCATCGATCGCTCATCTCGATGAGAGAAAGGGTTGAGAATGACTGTGAAGGGATGCCTTTCTTAACCGACTCTCTCTCCTTCGTGCACATCCAACGAGTCATCGTGTACAAATTACCGAAAATTGGTCCACTTTTTGGGACTACTTGGGATGCCTCCCAATGTCAGTATAACCGCCACAGTTTCTCTCTATTGTCCTTCGTCCTCGAGACGCGTTTTTTTACCAGCAGAGTACAACACGGCTCGGCTTCTTCGGGTGCGAGATTGTTTTTGTCGGCCTGGTGATTTTCGAGATTTAACACTAGTTTCCGTGTCCTAGGAAATTGGAGCGACTCGTGCGACTAATTTACCAAGAATCGGCGAGTAATTTAGGATATTATACTTGACCGGACTTTGCCGATTATTTGACAAGAATTCGGCAATCCGTAACGCTAACTTTAAAAACTTTCTGGAATATTTCACACAGTTACAATTTTAAAAATACGTGGATTCTTAAAAATTCTAGAAATGTGCCTTCAAAGCGGATTTCTGAAGGTAATATATTTTAATTGGATATTATTTAACTATAAAAAAATCAGCTTTGAAGATACTAAAATCTTACACGTTTTTCTCTCTTATAGTACATTTAATTCTATTAAAACTGTTTCTTTTTGCAGAAATACTAATCTGCTTGAATGCATTTCTCATTACAACAGGCTCTTCATTACTGACACCCGGATGGCCTCGCGTGTGACTTAACGATGCTTAGCTAATTAACGTAAAATTCGATCGGTCATGGAAGGCAGTCTCTTTCTTTTTCCGTCTATGAGTCTGACTCTCACCGGCGTGCAAGTGTTTGCGAAAGTGTCAAAATTGTGACAACCTGTTACTTTCAATCGTCACGATCTGTTGAAAGTGTCAAAAGTCGAATAATCCCTCAAGTAAGATTGACACCTTATATAAATGCTTGTACAAATAATTGATCGATAATGAATGAGATTTTACAGATATAAATGGAAAGAATTATATTGTTTTTTGATATATTGAATGCTTCGTTACGCGCAATATGTACTTTGATATTTTTTGTACAATAATGAAATAATGAATTAAAAATTAAAAAAACGGCAATTATATTTTTAGAAATTATGTTCTCGATATTTTTCAGAAGATATTTCCTTGCAGGCAAATGTTAAACAGTTTCTCTTCTCATAATTAATGTAAGCCTTAGTCGTATGCCTTGCCCAACCTTTCAACAGGCACGTTGAATACATCGTTAAAATAAAAGTATCCACGCATCTCGCGATATCAAACGTACAAATATTTCTTCCGTCAACGAGAGACAACGAGAGATATTCGTTTCGAACAAAGTCGCGGTGGACTGAGGGAGGAGAGGGGGAAAGTCGGTAGACACGAATGCTCCAATCGCTTATATTTCACGATCGCCAGTCGAAAAAGGAGAAGCGCGAGTCTCTGCGCGCACCTGCCGTGTTGCGGCACCGTAAGAAGGCTCCTTCGTCAGAGAAAATACAGCGGATACGATACCAAAACTTACTCTCCTCGAGAACCGAGCCGTGTGTGCATGTAAATGCGCGATCCTCGTGCGACGCGACTCGGAGAGGTGATATTTCGAGGTTCGCCGACGTTGGGCCCCGGGGACCGACGGCCATTGTATCCGCGTTCGCTCGCTCGCGCTTGCGCGCGCGCGCGCGCCCGCGCCCGCGCCCGCGCCTGCGCCCGCGCCCCTGCTCATTAAATATTAACGAGAGTCTCAATTTCTTCATTTCGTTGATGAGTCGCCGCGCGCCATCCGAGAGAACCCGCATATAGATTGAAAATTAACTTATATGAGCGCCGACAAAATATATACGGCATGCGGTGCACTTATACGACTCAAGAGGCCTACAATTTACACGAGGGCTCGCTATGTTGGTATAACCCCTAAGTAAAACTCTCGTCTCCCCGTCGCCCTTAGTTCCCTTCTTCTATTTCTTCTTCTTCTTCTTCTCCTTCTTCTTCTTCTCCGTCTTCTTCTTCTTCTTCTTCTTCATCTTCTTCTTCTTCTTCTTCTTCTTCTTCTCTTCTTCTTCTCCTCCTCCTTCTCTTTTTCTTGCTTGTTGTCGTTGTCGTATCTTCCTTTCGGCTTATCCGCTTCTGACCCCAACGCACGAACGTGAAATCCTTAAATACCTAATTTGATGCTAATTACAACTCACACTTGCGCCTCATGAAAGACTGGTAAAAGTGTGCTCGCGTGTGGCGAGAAGGTTTAATGGTGTGCTTGGTGGCGCATGATGAATTATGAATGACATGTCGTCAGTGAAGTATTAGGTTAAATCTCCTCAACTTCGAACTTGGAGGCGTTTGTAATTTCGAAGCTTTTCATTCTCAGTGCAAAGCTCTTCGAAATATTGCAGATATTCTACTTTAATTGCAATTTTAGATATTAAACTTTTCACGTTTACATGAATAAAAGTTTAATCTGATTTATAATTGTTGAGTTCTGTAATAATTCAAAATTTCTGAATATTTGAAATCAAATATTATCAATCAAAATATTAGGATATATATATATATATATATATATATATATATATATATATATATATATATATACAAGTACGCATTGAAAGAAAAAGTGTACGCAAAAAGTGTTTTGAACAAAAGTTGTAAGAAAACTATGATATTGATTCAATCGCAGATAGAGTCACTGTTGACATTTTTTTATGATCGCCATTTTTTTAAATAGAATCATATATTTTTTGTTATATAATATGATTCCTCTAGTAATTTTGGATATAAAAGTATATATGTAAAAAAGTTAACGACGAAAAAGTTAATTTATGAGATATTTTATACTTTATTTTGACATATTCTGACATATAATATATCTCATAAATTATTCATTTATAATCGTACTTTAATATTTTATGACATTTTATGACATATTACTGAATAAATATATTGATTTACAGGGATAAATCAATTCGTATGAAGAAGATATATAAGTCACTTTAAAAAAAGTTATGTAATTTGCAATATGCAAATACATACTTTTTTTTACAAACAACATTGTTAAGTCAAATAAAAAATTTGAATATGATATACGTAAAGTATGCAAATTCTTAAACCGCAAGAAATTTAAATTAAAATAACCATTCGATTTGTTTGAGAAATGCGTGAGTCTTCTTATATATTTTGTAACTTAAAAACAAACTTACCCTTTGATTTATCCTTCGATGGTAAAAGTGTAATAAATTAAAAAAAAGAACAAGATGTATTTAAGTCGAGACGTATGTAACTATTTATTATGCGATAATAGTTGCATTCGAACGTAGCACATTAATTTTAATTTTATAGAGTTGGAAATAATTGCTTCGCTCTTTAATATGTATGCTTAATGATCGCTATGCTACACATATCTAACGTGCGACCTATTGATTTTCTCTGCTGAGCATCACATGACAAGATACGTCATAAAAGATACTCGTATTTGATTTCATTTTGTATAAAACGTGAACATAAATTTTTAATTTATAAATATATTTATAAAAAGTGTCATAATTTTTTTTTCTAAAATGTTAATTTTTTTAAAAATTCGCTGAACGCTTTGAGAAAATTTTTTATTAAATTAATATTTTGATATTAATCATAATTGATATTGCCACGCTGATGCTCGCAGCATATTCTAAATTTTTCGTAAAATCTTGCTGTTATTTAGCCTTTCAAAAAGTATAGTTTCAGATTAATATTATAATAAAAATATAATAAATAGGAGGTAAAGGCTTGTCGATAATAAGAAGAAAGTCTGGATGGAACGGAAAGTTAATCAACATTAATAATACAAATTTCATAAGAAAAGATTGTCAAGAAATAACTTCAATAGTGTTCTTTTTCTTAAATTAACATTTCACATATTTCAATTTTGAAAAAAATATTAAATCTATGATAATTTTCTATAATGCGCTATGTGTTCGAGTTAAATTCGATTAAAGTTTCGCGAACTTGCGACGATCCAATTATGTAACCACAAGCGCGCGATTGTTTCAAACTTGCCTCATTTGTGCAAAACACTTGTGCATGTGTGTGTCTTGTACTGCTTGAATTCAAAGATGATTTGAAGGGAAAAACCGTGAATGCAAGAACGCATAATATGAAAGGCTTGATCAAGGCGAAATCTCTCGTCCTTTGAATGACACGCGCAAGTCTGGACCGCGATTTGCAAAAATATATTATGAAGTCCTTTGAATTCCAGCAGCTCGTTAAAAAATGTTTATTTCTTAGCTAGGTTCTTTGGCACGAGCAGAGGAACGCCGTTTTTTCATTTTAAGAAAAACTTTCATACGCTGTTTAACGCTGCTAATATAAAATTCGTAGATATACGCCTAAATTGTTATCGGGCTTCGCATTAGTTTGTTTTATTTATCAGATTTCAATTTTCTTTTATGATTTTTGACGTTTTTTTCACAATAATAAATTTACAATGTTATATTATTTTTATTATATTATATCTAATATAAAAATAATCGATAACATATTTGTCAATTATCGAAAATTGGCATTGATTATAAATTCGAACAATGAGTATTTAACTGATTGAGTTTGGCCAATTGGTAACAGCGCGAAGCCGATAAAAGTTAGTTGCGCGCAAAGTCCCGTATAAAATCAATAAAGACAAATTCAATAATTTTGCTACGATTGCACATGTAATGTACGTGTTCGTTCACATGGACGACTCTTCATTTAATTTAGCAGCCGTTTCGACGGCATCGTATAGGGTGTTCTAAACAATTGCATACAATATTTATTTATCTAAAAAATAATGATGTTTTTTTATAGAGCATACAATAAAATGAAATTAAAATGAAATTTAATCAATTTATTGTGTATTTTTTCCGAAATTTACGAAGATTTTTAAATTTTATTTAAACGGTAATAAATTATTAAAAATATTCAAGTATTGTTTCACAGTTAGAAATGTTTAAAAATATTTAAATTTTAGTTCCTTATTGTTTAAAATTTTAACTTTTATAAAGCCTAAAACTTCAAATTTTTAGAAATGTCCATCAAATGTTATATTATCAAGATGTAAAAAGATTTTAAAAAATATTTAAATTTTTATTTAAGTATTCAGCGTCAGATTTTACAGATTAATCGCATGTTTAATATTTATGTTTGAAATAGAATATCAAAATCAAACATTTTTTTGTAATAAAATGTTTATTAAGAAGGAATTGCTTCAAAAATTTTTTCAAACATATAAATATTTCTGCCATGCTTCTGCCATACATATCTTTCCAGAACACCCCATATATCTAGTGCCCGAAGCTCCATCATTAATTATTGGTATAATTGCTAATACACCCTCTTTACATACATATCTAGATTACATTATTACTAATCTCCTCTAGTAATTTTTGATAATTCGGATGTGCATGGAACTATGATTATTATCACTGATTATTTAACCATAATCGTTCTTGAAATTACCCGCTAAACTCTACTTGACTAGACTGCTTTCGTCGAAGGAAAATTCCTCCGATGAGTCACTTGCTTCATTGAGTTCGACGAATGTTTACGTTTTTATGTTAATCTTGAAGAAAGGTCAGGCATTTAATTTTGATTGATCTTGCGCGACTAAAGTTTGTCTCACGAGATTACAATGGTTTTCGTGAAATTTAAATAACTGTTCTGAAAACTAGTACTAGTACTAAAAATCACACTTCAGACTTTTGAAAGAAAGAGTTTCAGTAATTTAAGTAAACTGTTATGATACATCAGCGTCGTTAGCGTTCGTCAGTGAGGTTTCTTGCTAAGACTTTCGACGCATGTCATCGACTTGCCGAGTTCTTTCACAAAGTTGATTCACGAAGAAGCACAATAATCCCTCATCCAAGATGGCTGGAGAGACTGCTGTAAGCGTCCTCCTCCATTTCAAGCCGTCGTCAGTAGAGGTCGGAAAAGGAGACCTGAGAGGAGACGCCTGAGTGCAGATGATGAAGGGCGTGCAGTTCCTCCATCGAGGTCGAGGGCATGCTGTTGCTGTCACCGAGTATGCTCGCGGCCGGCCCCACGTTTGGAGAATTGCCGGTACTGGAAGATACCGGCGTCCCGGAACAGCCGACGTTGCTACTGACGTTGCTACCGTCCTGCCGCATTAGGTTTCGTCGCCATTTCGCGCGTGCATTTTGAAACCACACCTAGACAGATCACAAAATCAAGAGATCATTTAATTCTTTATGTTTATATCTTTATATCGTGATTAAAATAATTATTTGTTTCGTTAAAAAAAATGTTTTTAATGAAAATAACAAAAATAGAAAAAATACAAAAAATTATTGTATAAGATTAAAATTGGCATTGATCAATTTTATCTTATATACGCTTTTGCGACTAAAGAAAAATTGTCGAAAAAAACAAATGATATAAGTTATCAGCAATGATATAAGTTGCCATCTAATAAGTACTCCGTAAAAATAGAAGATTCTGTACCTGCAGTACTCTTTTTGACAGGCCGGTCTTTTGCGCGAGTTGCTTGAGATCCTTGGCATCCGGATTCTGATTTATCGCGAAATAATTCTTCATGGTTCGCAACTGATGATGCTTGAAGCTGGTGCGCATACGTTTCGTCCGCTGATTCTGGTGCACTGGTCCCGGAGAGCCTACGGACGCATCATACGCAGCCAGCGACTCCATCGACGAGGACAGCTCCGTGGGATGCAACAGTTCTGCAACGGCGACATCCACTAGAAAGGGTTTTTTTTTCCCTTTTCTGTTTCGCGTCCAACCATCGACGTCGCATCTATCACGAGTCCTGTGCGAGCGACATGCGATGGTGGAAAGAAATGAGGTTGGATAACGCATCGCGCTTTAAATTTATCCAATTTTTCTGTATTCATACGTACGAGGTATCGCAAGCTCGAAAAAGAAGAAAGAATTAAAGCTTTCAAGTTTGCTAAAGTTTCTGAAATCCGGAGAGAAAGATCCGGGAGGCACAAAAATTAAAAACTTTCAAAATCGTGAAGTTTTAAAGAATCTCAAAAGTCTCTCAACTATCAAGTATAATCGATATGTTGAAACACACACACACACATACACACACACACACACACACACACACACACACACACACACACACACAGCGCGCGCGCGCGCGCG